AAGAAATATCGCAGAGCGATATGCTTCGTTCTGTTCGCGAATCCACTTTTGTTGGCGATGGAAATTGCAGATTGGTGTCGCAGAACAGAGTGAAGTTGGGTAAATCGGCTAACTTCGCTTCTTCCAGCAGCTCGCGAAGATACAGTCCTTCCTTGGTGGCTGAGCAGAGTGCAATGTATTCTGCTTTAGCTGACGAGAGAGCAATTAATTACTGCTTACTCGATTGCTAGGAGATCGGTCCGATAGGTTCAAGGTGGTAGATGTAGCCGGTGCAGGAGCGCCTATTGCCTGAGTCGCCAGCGTGATCAGCGTCGACGTAGCCGATTAATTTAGTCGGTGTAGTTGTGTTCTTGTAGTAGGTTAGGCCGATTGTTGACGTACTGACGAAGTAGTGGAGAGCGCGGTCAAGCTCCGCCAGGTGTTGTGCTTCAGGTCTTTTGAGGTAGGTGGCGAGCTGGCTTGCGGAGTAGGATAGATCTGGGCGGCAGGTGACGGCTGCGAAGAGAAGGCAGTCCAGCTTTCTCTGGTAGTCGCGTATCCCGACGGATTTGAGTAGAGAGGGTCCTTCCTTGTGGTTTCCTGTCGTGTAGCGGTAAGGCGTAGAGATGGTGGTAGGTGTGAGCGCGAAGCGTTTGGCGATGGTGTCGGCGTACTTAGCGGCGTTGAGGTAGATCGCGCCTTCTTCTTCCCGAAGGTTTAAGCCGAGGTACTGTGTGACGATAGAGGAGACCGTGAGTGTGAGGTCCCTCTGTAGCTCCCCTTCGAACCAGGTGGTGATGTCGTCAGTAGAGCCGATGTAGAGTAGGTCGTCTACGTAGACGATCAGCAGAATGTAGTCGGTGTCTTTAGTGAGTCGGTACATTCCTTGGTCGTGAGGTAGTTGGCGGAATCCGATGCGAGTGAGGCGAGCGTGTAGGTACTGTTGCCATAGCCACGGAGCTTGCTTGATCCCGTAAAGTGATTTCAGCAGTTGACAAACTTGGTTAGGTTCCCCGTTGGTACCGTGTGGGAGCTCGACGAAGATTTCCGCGTCGACAGGTGCGTAGAGGAACGAGTTGGCGACATCAATTTGCCGTAGCTTCCTTTTCTTCATGGCGCTGATCGCAAGGAGGATTCAAAGTGAGCTATGTCGGCTAACCGAGGCGAATGTCTCGGTTAAGTCCCGTCCGTGCTCCTGATGGAATCCACGCACAACCCAGCGTGCTTTGAACTTCTCAATTGTGCCGTTTGCTTTTGTTTTAACGCGGAAGACCCATTTCCCGGTGAGAATGGTCTTGTTCCTTGCCACGCTGATGGGGACAACTTTCCAGGTGTTCCGTTCCTCCAGCGCCTTTAACTCTCTGTCCATGGCTTCACACCATTTTTCACTGTGTTCCCCCCCCAGAGCCTACTAAACCATTGCAGGCTCCTTATGTTGAAATAACGGAACAGGAATGATGAACCAACAGTGAAATCAGTACAAGTACCTAACCCTAGAATTGTGTACCCCCTATAGGCTAACCCACTGTAGCCTAAACAAGTACAACAACATATATAATGTTTGACACACCCCCATAGGCGAAGTGGGGGAGAACTAGGGGTCACAAGACCAGTCAAGGCAAAGCAAGGCAAAACAAGCTCAGGGTGAATCTCAAGGATACCACACAAATTCTGAGCACAAGCAAGTGGTCACAAGACCAGTTCACATGCAGGTTTATATTAGAGCAAGAGGTACAATGATCACAACCTAGCAAGAGTAAACATGCAGGTATATATATATAGAGATCACAATAAAAACAGACTCAAGAAGTAAGCAAGTGAGGTACAGTAGGCATAAGGCATAGAAGAGTGCAAAAGCGCTGATGGTCACAAGGCTGAAGCGCCTTGGTGAACACATCAGCAGTGTTGGCCTCAGAGGCCACGTAACGCAGACGAAGGTGACCACGCTGCTGCAACTCTCGAGCAAGGAAGTAGCGCAGAGCAATGTGCTTCGTTCTGTGCTCCAGTCTGTGCTCCTGACACAAGGCAATGGCTGCCTTGTTGTCTACGTACAGCACTGGAGGAGGACGAGGCTGCTCTCCAAGGTCGGTCAGTAAGTAGGTGAGCCAGCGTAGCTCCTGGGCCGCCATGGCTGTGGCGTAGATCTCAGCCTCACAACTAGAGCTGAGAACAGAAGAAGAGCGAGTAGAACGCCAAGAAACTGAACCGGAGCCAAGACTGAAGGAGTAACCCTGAGACGACCCCTGAGTAGCCTGGTCGTCTGCCCAAGAAGCATCGGAGTGCCCAGTGAGAACAACTGGGACTCGCCCTCCAAGCACTAGCCCCATGCCCGACGTACTGCACAAGTAGCGCAACACCCTCTTAGCTGCAACCATGTGCTCCTTCCGGTAATGGCCGGGAGCGACATCGCGTGCAAGAATGCTAAGAGGGTATGCAAGGTCAGGTCGAGTGCAGGTCATTAGGTACATGAGGCAACCCACAAGCTCTGGATACGAGCCACTCGGCTCTACGGACTCATCCGTAGGCAGATCTGAGAGCGAGTGACCGGTAGGCAGAGGAGTGGGCTGAGTCGAGGAGAACGTGAAGCGGAAGCGCTAAAGGACCTGCTGCACCATGTGTGACTAAGTCTAGGTGATGGTGCTGCGTGCTCTGTCCCGGGTGATCCGCAAGCCAAGAGAGCTTGTCAGTTCACCTAGGTCTGTGCACGTGTATCTCTTCTACAGCTCCGACTTCACGTGGACGAGTGCCGCACTGTCAGCAGTGGCAAAGACCAGGTCGTCGACGTACACGAGGATGTAGAAAGGCGCCAGTGAGGTGTCGGTGCGTAGAAACAGTGACGGGTCAGTAGAAGAAGGCGCGAACCCAAGAGCTGCAAGTGTAGTCCTCAGTGTGTCGTGCCACTCACGTGGCGCCTGGCGGAGACCGTAGACTGGCCGTCGGAGGCTCCACTGGGTACCAGGAGGGAACGACCCAGTGAAGCCAGGTGGACGGCGGAGCCAGATCTCCTCGTGCAGGCTGCCCTGTAGGAAAGCAGTGCGGAAGTCAAGAGAGTGGAGCTCGTAGTCACGCTGAGCGGCGACCTGCAGCAGAACCTGAAGAGTAGTCATCTTCGGTGTCGGGGAGAAGGTCTAGAAGAAGTCAACTCCCTCTTGCTGACTGAAGCCTCGTGCAACGTAACGCGCCTTGAAGACAGGCGGAGAGCCCGACGGCCGCTTCACCCTGAAAATCCACATGCCACTGACGATGTTCGCCCCAGGCGGGGGAACCTCGTCGACGTAGGTGCCTGTGGACTTCCAGGAAGCCATCTCTGTGTCCATGGCTGTCTGCCACTGAGAGGAGTAGGGACCGGCCATCGCCTCTGCGTAAGAGCGTGGGGTCGGGATGTCTGGTGCATCCGGGTCTCCCTCAGGGGCAACAAGCATGGACACGAGATTTTGCAAAGCGGCAGCAAAGCACTGGAACTCCTCCTGCCTGTCCTCAAGAACGTCAGTGCCAAGAGCACACTCACCCCCGACGGACGGAGGACAGACAGACTCAGACTCAGCAACTAGGCTAGCGGCGTAGTCTAGACGACAGGTAGCAGCAAAGTCGACAAGCTCAGCAACCAAGGCAGACGCAGCAGCGGACTCAAAGGAAGGGTCAGTGACAACAGTAGCCAGGAGACGCGTGACAGTAGGACTGGCAGCACGAAGGGAGTCTGACCCCGGGTCAGCAAGAGCAGGAAGAGAGGACGCAGTAGGAGACGGCAGTGGGACACGCTGTGGAGCAGTGGAGGGACGAAGTGCCATCCGGTGAGTGCCTGGGACAGCAGGAAGACGCTGACGCTCGACACAACTACCAGTGAGGGCAGCACGGACAGGCGACGCACGACGAGACTCAGGCAACGTAGGACGAGACTCAGGCTCACGACGCTCAGTAAGACCTCCAGCTGGACCAGTGTAAGGAGCAGGACTAGGGAGAGAGGAGGCAGACGGTAGCTGCGAGTGCAGCTGGACAACCGGAGGACACCCTAAGGAGGGAAAAGGACAAGGAGGAGGGAGCTGACCAAGAACCTGCTGAAGGAGCGGAACGAAATACGGCCGCGGCCGTGCAGCGACACCAGAACCAGCAGAGACACCTGCACCAGGGTCCGCAGCACCAGCAGCTGCACCAGCGGCAGGGTCTCCAGCACCAGCAGCAGCACCAACGCCCGGGTCCCCAGCACCAGCAGCAGCTCCAACACCTGGATCCTCAGTACCAGCAGCAGCTCCAACGCCCGGGTCCGCAGCACCAACAGCAGCTCCAACACCCGGGTCCTCAGCACCAGCAGCAGCTCCAACACCCGGGTCCGCAGTACCAGCAGCAGCTCCAACACCCGGGTCCTCAGTACCAGCAGCAGCTCCAACACCTGGGTCCTCACCACCAGCAGCAGCACCGACGGCAGCGGGGTCAGCGACACGAGGCGCGCCACTCCAAAGAGTGCAGCGCCGCTCGTACCACTGACGGATCCGCTCACGGGAGGGGAGCTCCCGACTAGGAGGAGAAGCACTAGCACCAGCCCCAGTTGCACGCCTGGCTCCAGAGGTACCTCTCCTGAGGCTGCAGTACTGTAAGTACCACTCACGCAGCTGATCTGAGGAGAGGGCTCCTCCAGGTGTAGGACTCCCAGGCTCAGCACCTCCGGACTCAGAACCCCCAGACTCCGGACTCTGCGGCTCAGCACTCCGAAGCTTAGCACCCCCAGGCTCAGCACCCCCAGGCTCCGCACCTCCAGGCTCCGCACCCCCAGGCTCCGCACCCCCAGGCTCAGCACCCCCTGTTCCAGCACCCCCAGGCTCAGTACCCCTACGCTCAGCACCCCAAGGCTCAGCACCCCCAGCAGGACGAGAGTTGACAGCTACCTCAACAGGCTCAACCGGGTCTACCTGAGACACACCTGAGGGAGCGGCACCCTGAGGGGGGAGGGGGTCTACAACAGCAGCACCTAGCGTGAGGAAGAGAGGCGGGGGGGGGAGCGGGGCAGTGCGGTAGGGGAAGAGGCGTTAGTAGTGGACGGACTCGTCAAAAGTGACGTCCTGAGAGGGCAAGACTCGGCGCGAGGTGGCGTGGTAAAACTGCCAACCAGACGCGTCCGGGACAAAGCCGAGGAAGACGCATGGAACAGCACGGGAGGAGAGCTTGTCCGCAGATGTATCGCGGACAAAAGCTCGAGATCCCCAGACTCGGAAACGCGACGCATCGCCAACCTCCCCCGTCCACAACAGTGTGGGCGAGGTCTCCGGCAAGGAGACACGGGGCCAGAGGTTGAGCTGATGCGCAGCGTACTGGACCGCAAACGGCCACAGAAAGTGGGGGGCAGCCGCATGGATCAAGGAGGTACGGGCGACCTCCATGACCAGGCCAATGCGGCGCTCCGCAACCCCATTCTGCTGTGGAGAGGCCGGAAGCGTGAACGATTGGTCAATGACGTGCTCACCACAGTAGGCTGCCAAGAGGTCGGAGGATAACTCACCACCTCTGTCAGAGTGCAAGCGCAGGACAGGAAAGTCCGAGCGAAAACGCTCGCTGAGCTGGAGACGGGCTCTGCGGATCCAAGGGATCAAGACATCAGGGACCTCACCCTCGGTGCGCAAGGGGAAGACCGAGGTGTAGCGCGAGTAGTCGTCAACAACTATCAGGAAGTACCTCTCCTGACCCTGACCACGGACGCGGGCTGGGCCCCACACGTCCATGTGGAGCGTCTGCAAGGGAGCAGTCGTCGGGGGAAACGAGGAGGAGTGAGGAGCGGCGCGCTGCCGTCCCTCGACACAGGGGAGACACGTAGGAGCAGGTGAGGGAGGGAGGGGAGGAAGGACCCTGGGAAGACCAGAGACAAGGTACCGGGAGTGCATGGCACGAAGCCGCTGCACAGACGGGTGGCCAAGGCGATGGTGCCAGAGGACAGTCTCGTGCGCTAGAGAGCGACACGAGCAGGGGGCCGACAGCTGACCTGACGCGGACGCAGACGCAGACGCGGCAACCTGAGGGGACTCAGTGGTCAGTGTGTACAGGTCCGACCCCGGCTACCGAGTGAAGGTAGCCAAGTGACGGCCCGTACGAGCACACGTACAGTGTGTCACGCACTCGTAGGCAGGGGTGAACTGGTGAACACCCCCGTCCTGGAGCGCACATCCTGCCACCAAGTTCGTAGAGAACGAGGGGAGGTGGAGACCTGACAGTGTGCCCAACGGGACCGCAGGACAGGGAAGGACAGTGGAAGAGGTCGCAATGACCGGACCCCCAGAGGGGTCAGCAAGGGAGACAGCAACTGGCCAAGCAAGCGGCTCAAGGGCAGTGCGGTCATGAAAGAAGCAGCGAGAAGCACCTGAGTCTAGTGTGAAGGTGTGCAGTGCTGCAGTTGACTCAGTACCAAGGGGGACAGACGCACAAGCACCTAGAGCAGCTGCCTCACCAGTACCTGGGGTAGCCGACACGCGAGTACCTGGAGCGGCAGACGCACTAGTCCTAATGCCCGGGTCGGGCGGCACACACAGGTACTCAGCACCCTCTCCACTAGTAGACATCACATACATAGCAGATAGAATAGCATCAAAGTCTAGAGCATAGATATCAATCCCCTTCTTCACGAGATCAATCCAGCGGGGCAGCTCAGCGGCCTCAGGGAACTGAACACGCCAAGCGTTGTCGAGACGAGCAAAGCAGCGTTGTGTGGCGTGCGGTCGTCCACACTGCTGACCAGTGTGGTCACCAGTGCGAATGACGTACGTGCAGAGAGTACCACTCACGGACCTCCTGGGGCGACGGTGTGTGCTGATGGCCCTGGCCACCGCCAGCGCCTCCACGACCACCACCGCCGCTGCCACCTCCTCGACTACCCCAACCCCTGTCGCCGCCTCGTCCACCGCCACCCCAACCACCGCCTCCGCCCCTGCCACCTCCCCCGCCGCTGCCGCCACCACCCCCACTGCTACCACTAGCCCCTCCAGTCGCGCCACCACCCCCACCGCCTCCACCGCCCCCACCACCGCCTCCCCCGCCGTCACCGCCACCACCCTTGCCCCCTTTGCCCTTGCCGCTGCGGCGCCCGCTCGAAGCAGACGCAGTACCGACCTTCTCAGCACCAAGGAGGTCGACAGCAGCAGCAGAGGCGACAGAGGGAAGAGGGGGGGAAGGAGAACACCCCTCAAAGAACGGGGTACAGGGGTCGCCATGAGAGGCACCTACAGCGACGATGCTAGTCTCAGTTGCAAGCAGTTCCTTCTCGAGGAGGGCAATGGTGAGCTCAGTGGGGCAGCGAGCTAGGAAGTGGTCCCTGACAGCACGCAGTGTGTCAGGGAGGTGGGTGACTAGGTGGTAGAGAGTGAGCCAGAGTGGAGGGGGGTGCGTGGCAAGGAACTCAGCGGGCATGGCGGCACGGAAGCGGGCCTCACTAGTACGTAGGTGCGTGATGAGGTCAGCGACTGTGTGGAACGAGGCCAGGTCGGGAAACAGGTAGGGGAGGGAGAGACGGCCTAGCGCGGCAGAGGCAGGTGAGGAGTAGCGAGCAACGACAGCTGTGTACAGTGCCTGTGCAGTCTTGTGCTAGCCAAAGTGCTCGCGTTCGTCTATCGGCAGGGAGTTGCGAATAGCAAAGTGAGCGTGGGCATCACGAGTCTGCCACTGTGAGTGAGTAGTGCTGTCAGCAGTAGCAGCAGGGGCAGTGACATGGCCTAGGGCGTGGTTGTACAGTGAGATATCGTCCTTGGCAGTGAGCTGTAGATAGAGGTGCAGGTCATCTAGCCAGGTGTCAAACTTCACTGGGCGGCCCTCAGGATCGAAAACTAGAACCCGTGGGCTAGCCATAGGAGTAGTAGAAGTAGCAGCAGTAGGAGGAGGAGGAAACAGTTAGGGCTGCTCGGTTCAGGTAGGGCGGCGCGGCTCGGGTGGGGCGGCGCGGTTCGGATCGGGTCGTGCGGCTCGGCTAGGTTCGCGCGGCTCGGCTCGGGTCGCGCGGCTCGGTTCGGTCCCGGGCTGTGACGGTCACGGGCCGCTCGGGGCCTCTAGGGGCGGTGGGCGCGGGGCCGCTCGGGGCCTCTAGGGGCGGTGGGCGCGGGGCCGTTCAGGGCCTCTAGGGACGGTGGGCGCGGGGTCGACGGGGCCGTTCGGGGCCTTTAGAGAGGTGAGCGTGGGGCCTTAACGGGGCCTCTAGGGGCCGACGGGGCCGTTCGGGGCCGCTAGGGAGGTGAGCGCGGGGCCGTAAAGGGGCCTCTAGGGGGCCGACGGGGCCGTTCGGGGCCTCTAGGGAGGTGAGTGCGGGGCCGACGGGGCCGTAAGGGACCTCTAGGGAGGTGAGCGCGGGGCCGACGGGGCCGTTCGGGGCCTCTAGGGAGGTGAGCACGGGGCCGACGGGGCCTCTAGGGAGGTAAGCGAGGGGCCGACGGGGCCGTTAGGGGCGATCGCGGGGCTGAAAGGGGCCACTAGGGGCGAGCGCGTGGGCCGTTCGGGGCCTCTAGGGGCGGGCCGACGGGGCCTTAGAGGGCCGTGAAAACCGAGGCGCCCTAGGGCGCAGGTAGGTAGGTAGGTAGGTAGTGGTGGGCCCTAAAAAAAATCGGTACTAGGAAGGACCTGCTCTATACCATGTTGAAATAACGAAACAGGAATGATGAACTAACAGTGAAATCAGTACAAGTACCTAACCCTAGAATTTAGTACCCCCTATAGGCTAACCCACTGTAGCCTAAACAAGTACAACAACATATATAATGTTTGACACCATTGGGAGAGTGTTGCCGTGGACTGCAGTGACGAGTCCGAGAATCTGCAGTCCAGACTGTGAGTAGCGCGGAAGAGTTGCGTCCTCGGGATAAGCTGCTTCATCTCCCGCTTCTGGATCGGGTATGAAATTCGGTCCTATTCGTTCTGCTTCGTTGGTGTTGACTGTCGTAGCTGTTACGTAACCGTTGTCGGCGAAGTAGTAGAAGGTTTCGGCGTTGGGACTTTCGCGAGGGTTATCTCCGTCCAAGGGGACGTCGACGGAGTAGAACGGAAGGGGTCCAGCTTCTTCTGATGCGTTGGCTACATTCTGCTCGTCCCAGTCAGCTTCGTCTGCTATCGAGGTGAAGGCTCGATCACCACGAAAGCCACCTGTGGGATCTTGGTTCTCTTGCAGGTTGGCAAGGTATGTCTGGAGCATAAGTCGTTCGTAGAAAATGACGTCGCGTGCTGCTACTGTTTCCTTTGAGTGGACGTCAAAGTTTTTACACGCGTTGTAGTTCTTTTCGATGCCGAGGTGTAGTCCTCACTGTGCGCGTTGTGAAAAACGGCCCGCTCGTGCTGCTGGGGGCCGGTACTGTACCATGCATCCGAAAACTCGTAACATTTTTGTGCTGCCCTGTTTTCCTGTCCATAGCAGATGCGGTGATGCGTTGTTCGGAAGCGATGATGACGACATCAAGTTGTGCAGCATGACAGCGTGGTCTATTGCTGCAGGCCACTGGTGGTTGGATAGCCGCATGCCACGTAACAGTTTGCGCATGCTGTTCTGCAGAATCCTGTTCATTCTTTCTGCCACACCTTGCTGCTGATGGGCGTAGGGAAGAGAGAGGAGCTGCTTGATCCCCCTTTCCGCCAGGTATTGCTTGAATCGCTGAGAGGTGTATTCTCCTCCTCCGTCGGACTGGAAGCTTTTCAGCTTTACGCCCGACTCTCTTTCTGCTACTAGTAGCCAAGCAGCGAATGCTTCAAGGACCATGTCGCGGCTGGGTAGGTTCAGATGCTAGACGTAACGGGTGGCGGCGTCAATGAAGGTGATTGTGTAGCTGTATATTACTTGTCCTGGTTCCCGATTGTACAGGATGTCGCTATACACCTTTTCGAGTGGTGTGTACGCGGGTGCGCTCGGGTTGTGATGAGGAGTGAACGGCCGATGTGGTAAGCCGGCTTCGGGGCAGGTAAGACATGTTCCTCGTGCCCGTTGAAGTTCTCTGCCGTCGAGTAGTAGTAATGAGTCCTTGTCAAGGACTCCTGCTCTTATTGTGTTGTTTAACACAGTGTTGCTTGGGTGTCCCATGCGTGCGTGCCAGATGTCTTCGGAGGCGCGGTGTCCGGGTGAGCGTCGATACGCGTCGGAGTTGGAGTAGAAGCTGGCGGTGAAGTTTGTGCTTCTATGGAATTCCCGTTGAGTCGGATTCAGCTGCTGTGCAGGTGTTGGTGGTGCTTCGTCGACGAGGACTGGTGTCGTTGTTCCTGCTACTGCTGATGATGTCTCTGCTGCTGCCGATGTTGTCACTGCTGCTGCCGATGATGTCTCTGCTGCTGCCGATGATGTCACTGCTGCTGCCGATGATGTATTGTTACTAACGCACGTGTTTGTTCTGCTTCAGGAATGGTATGTGAATACAAGAAGCCTTCCGGACTGAAGTCGGGGTCGAGATCCGGCGGGTGCGTCCAAGATGTGAAGGTGACGATCCCGTCACTGTCTGCGGTGCCCAGGTCTGGGACGAAATCGAGAACGAAGACATTGTTCTTCAGGACCGCCTTTCTGATGTAGAGGCCGCCCTTCCCGTGGTACAGCTTGAACTCCTGGGTGGTACTGTCGGCTTCCAGATGTATGCCTTTCGCCATCAACTGACTGATGCTCAGTAAGTTGTAGCCAAGTCCTTCTGCTATTAGGACTTAGGACATTTGCAGTATGACATTCGTCTCTCGTGACTGAAGTTGCACTACTCCTTGTCGTCGTGTGCGCAGGTTCTGATTATTGGCGACAGTGATGACAACTTCTCGTTGAAGTTGGTGCTCGCGTTGAACGAAACGTCCTGAAGAGCACATATGTTGTCCGCAGCAACTGTCCAAGAACCATGTATCCTTCCCGGACGGCTCGCTTTGGGCGATGGCGGCGTACGTCGGGTTTGGTTGAAGTGACTCGCGGCGAGGCGTGCTGTTGTCGAGTTGTTCTTCTGGTGAGTAATATGGTGGTGACTCAGTTACGCAGGAGTCACTCAGCCTTGCCATGCAGCTGACGATGTTTCTTGTTCCTTTCGCAGGTTGTCCCGTTGATGTTGTTGAGACGTGTACTGAAGTTGTCGGATTTGCGTGCATTGAGGCGACTTGACTGCTTGAAGGGCGAAGTTGGCGTTGTCGATTTGGGCAGTGCGTACGACGATGCCCTGAAGTCTTGCAGAGGGGGCAGAACGGAGGTATGATTTTCGATCGATTGTTGTTGTTGTTGTGGCGCCGTTGAGTGTGAAACGCGAATTCGGGCATTGACACCTTTCTCTTGTGTCGTTCTTCTTGCAGGTCCATGTCTTGCTGTTCGGCGTGGATTTTGGCGCAAAGTGCTGCTTCAGAGATTTTCCAGCGGGCTCGTAGTATGGCGCGAGTGGAGCGCCAGTGAGGACCAAGACCGCCGATGACAACCGTGACGAAGGCGTCCTCTGAAATCGATCCTCCACATCGAAGAAGCTTGTCGCGCAGCTCGCGGCAGCGACTGATATACGCCATTCCCTTCTCGCCTGGTTTCATTTCAATTGTAGTTAGCTGCGCCATTAACCGACTTTGGTTTACGCTGTCTATTGCTTGATATAGGCTCTTCAAGTGATTGTACACGAGCTCCGCGGAGTTGCCGTAGCCTCGGTAAGACCGTATGTTTTGTTGTTGAGTTGGAGTGATGTTCCTCAGTAGTATCGTGTATGCCATCATTGATTGATAGGTGTACTGCTGCTTCTCATACTGTGTGCCGTTTGTTGGGTATGGCAGGGACCCGTCGAAGAAGCCAAGGATTTGCGCTCCTTCCATCATCAGCTCGAATTCGAATGACCAGGTAAAGAAATCCTTCCCGTCGAAGGGTTTTGTCGTTTGCAGTTTTAGAACGTGCGCGAACTGCGACTGAACTTGTACTGCGTCCAACATTCTCTCTTGTCCCGGTGCAGGTTGTGGTTGTGGCATGAAGCTGACGGAGTCGCGCTCAGGCTCGTACGGAGCGAAGGTAGGTTGCTGTTGTTGATTCCCGCGTGCATAGGATGAGCCATCGAGACTCATGGGTGTCACGTTGTTGTTGTTGTTGCTGTTGTTTGATTGCACAGGTGCTCCTTGCTAATGCTGCTCGTAGAAGGACATGAAGGAGAAGAACTTCTCCATCATGCTTGGATCGAAGCGCGCGCCTTGGTTTGCGGGTGTTTTAGTAGACCCAGCTGCCGGTCTCGTTGTTGTGCCTTCCTCTGTCTGTAGGCCAGAGGCAGGAGGTGGAGTAGGAGTAGTACCAGGAGAGCCGTTGGAGGAGCTCCTCTCCTTTCTGGTAGACATGTCTCTTGGTGTATTAGGTGTTGAGGAGAAATAATTTTAACCCTAACCAGCTCTGATACCATGTAGGGCTGAGTGCCCCTTAGGATCTTTGGTAGGGTTAAAGTCTGAGTAAAGTGATGTGGTAGCGGAAGCGTTTAAGTGAAGTCCTTGAACCACCTTGCACTGGTATGTGAGGGCAAAGTAAGTTGTTTCAAGCAAAGAGATACAAGATTATATATATGAATACAGAGAATATGAAGAGACATAGTTATAACTACTTTACTGTTGCTGTTGCGGTTCGATACACTGCGACTCGGGCAACTGCTCAATGTCGAGTCAGTTGTGTGTCCTTGCTGTCGCGCTGCATTTGTCAGGTCAAAGGTCACTGACCTTTGACTTTCGTGTAACCTCCAGCGGTTACATCAACCTCCGAGGGTTGACTCGCTGGTGCCTCGATATGCTCTGCTTCGCTTGTGCCTTGGTGTTTCGACATGACAAAGGCGCTTAAGATTGTTTGTTCCCAACAGTCTGAACTTTCAATTTGGTCAACTCTCACAGCCAGACTAGGAAGAGGGGTGTACTCTGAGGCCTCAGACTAGATCAAAACGAATCTAGGGGCCTGTTCTCGGTGACAATCACTCGCTTTACTCGCCACTTCACTAGTTAGTGCGGCAGATGTGTTCTCTTTGTTTCTTAGTCCTCTTTCATTGTTTCTGTGTGTCCTCATTGTAACGAAAAGTTTCCAGACTTGTTACCAGTTGGAATCCTCGAACTACGGTACACTATGATCACCAAACGGGGTGTAGTGGGGGGGAAATGCTGGAATGGAAACATCATAGCTTTCAGTACTGTAAAACAGCGAGGCACCAAGGGCTGATCAAGTATCTATACCCAGACAAAGATGAAAGGACCAGCAGACGCCACGCAGTGGGTATTCCCTGACCAGGTATCCAGGAGAACTTAGCTCAAGGGGTTAAACTTGGCTTCAATTACCGGAATACCCCGGATAGAAGACCCCGGATATAGTTGTGATTCTGTACATCACACCACATCTCAACTGATGGAAGAAATGTACACGCAGTGTGGTGTACATACAATTCAATCTTTGCTGTGCTTGAAGCAGAAGACGAAGAAGTCAACTCTGCGTACTTGCATGAACCACGATTCTTGTCACTCAGGCCGTCTTTGCATCCGTGCCTCTCACGGCCCTCCCTGTCCGCACTCCCCTCTGCTTCACCTCCCACCGCCACCACCCGTTCCTCCGCCCCCCTACCTTCTCCAGCAGAACAGGCCTGGGGAAAGAGCGCGGTGATATCAGCGAGGGTAAGTGAGTCGCGGTCCCTGTGAGACCGAGGGTTGGTGGCAGCATGGGCGGTGGCGAGTGGGGCAGCAGCGGCCTTGGAACGCGCGAGGGCGTGAATGGGCTCCTCCACAGTGCCATGCACCTGCAGGCATGATCCATGCAGAGAGAGCAAAGGAGTTGACTCAAACACAAGTCATGAGCTTGCATCCGTGCTTCTGCTGCAGTTGCAGCAGTGGCCGTGGAGCGCGCGAGGGCGTGAATGGGCTCCTCCACCGTGCCATGCACCTGCAGGCAGGATTCATGCAGAGATGAGAGAAGTGCAATGGATTCATGCAACGACAACAAGTTGACTCTTGAGTCGCCTCAAACACCACCTCGTGAATGGGCGCCTGCGCTGTACTGTGCACCTGCAGGCAGTGAAAGAGAGGGGAGGCGACAAGGAGGGAAGGGGGGAAGGAAAGACAAGGAGGGAGGGGCGAAAACCAGCACCCACTCACAACTCAATGCACTACCTGCCTGACAGCACATCACCCACTCAAAATAAAGCGGTGCACAAAGGTCTGGCGGGTCTGGCCGATGCGGTGCACGCGGTTGGCAGCCTGCGCCTCGGCGGCCGCATTGAGCCCCGGCTCCACAAACACCACGTGCTGTGCCTCCACCACGTTCAGCCCGTTGCCCCCCACCGCCACAACCAGCAGCAGCACACGACACTGTTCCCCATCTCCCCTGCCCCCGGCCCCTCCTGCTTCCCTCCCGCTGCCCTCCCCCCCTTGCGCACTGCTCACTGCCCCCGCTGCCCTGCCTGTGGCAGCGGCAGTAGCAGCAGCGGCCAGTGGGATGGCAGGTGGCAGGGGAGAGGTGAGGGAGCGTTTGCGGCGCTTGGTGCGGGGCTTATGGGAGGGGCGGATGGGGCGAGCGGAGAGGGCAGCTGCGGGAGTGGCCTCTCTGAAGCGCTTCAATGCTGGAGGCACTTCCCTGGAGAACACACCAAGAGATTGAACGAGGATGGAAGAACAAACCAAGGGCTCGAACGAGGTGCAGAAGTATTAACTGCAGAGAAGAGGAGACTCATGTGCCTCTTGTAAGCGCAGGAAATGAACAAGGTTAGAGTGGCGAGCAGAGTAGAGTGTGTGGGGGGGAAAGAGGGGGGATTGTGGGGAGGGGTTAGAAAGCAGGGGAAGGGCAAGAGAGCGGGATGGAAAGGTGGGGTGCGCACCGGTGGGAGAAGGCACAGGCGGTGGGGACAGCGTTGGCGTGCAGGCAGTGCTGCACGAGCAGCAGCACCTCCCTCCACGCGCTGAAGATGATGATGCGCGCTGATGGGTCGCTGCGCAGTAACCGTAACACCCGCCGCGTTACCGCGTCCAGCTGGAAAGATGGCCATGGGTTGGCGAGAGGTGGCATGGGTTGGCATGGCATGGAGTTGGAAGGAGGGGAAGAAAGAGAATGATGTGTTGGCATGGCATGGAGATGGAAGAAAAGATACAATACCTTTGGGAAGGCTTTAACAGGCTTTGACCTTAGTAACAGAAGCCCTTAGTAACTCAATAACCCAATGAATCAACAATGGTGTAGACACTGAATCAATAAGTAACTTGGAATCTTGGTCCTTTAGTACCTACCTTGGTGCCGAACCCTGTGCGAAGGCTCATCTCCTCCTCCTGCATCCGCACTTCATCTCGCAACTCCTGCTCCTCGCCCTCCCTCCCTCCTCCGCCCGCACCACTGCTGCCACCACGACAGCAGCAACCACGTGCCTCCATGCTTGTATGTGATAGTGCTGCTGCTGATGCCAATGCCGATGATGGTGTTGATAAATTGCAATGGCATGGAGAATTTCGTTGTTCACCGCTTCCAACCGCATCTGACTCCTGATTCGCCTGCAGGGCGCCAGCAGGGTATCCATGGTGATCCCTGCGGTTGTCCACGTAGGCAATCTCCGATGCCCTTGCCACGTGGCGGCATGTGGGGCATCGCATGCGCCGCTCCCTGATGGTGCTGCAGGCGGTGGTGGTGGCTTGAGGGGACCTCTCTACCAGTAGACATGTACTTGCAGAGATGACATGGTGGGATGACATGGGTGGATGGCATGGGTGGATGGCATGGGTGGATGGCATGGGTGGATGACATGGGTGGATGACATGGGTGGATGGCATGGGTGGATGGCATGGGTGGATGACATGGGTGGATGACAAGGGTGGATGGCATGGGTGGGTGTGATGACATGGTGAGAAGGCATGCTGAAACGGTCGGAAGCAATTCTGACATGGCATGGTAGAAGTGCTGAGCTTGGTCGGATGGAAGGGTGAGGTGAGATGAAAAGAGATGACACGGTGAGAGCTCACACATTGACATGAAACGGTGAGAAGTGACACAGTGAAACGACGCAATGAGAGATGACACAGTGAACGACGCGATGAAAGATGGCACAGTGAGATGACACACTGAGGGATGAAACGGATGGAGAGCACTCACACTTGCAGCACAGCAGATGGCCGCATGGCAGCACCGACAGCTCACTGCCCAACGCTTCCCTGCACACCGGGCAGCTCTCCTCCTCCCCCTCCTCCTGCTCTCCTTCAACGCTCTCCCCACTCTCACCCTTCCCACTCCCTCTCCCATCCCTCTCCGCCCCACCCATCTCCGTCTCCACGCCTCCCCCGCCTTGCACCGCGCGCCGGCGAGCAGAAGCCAGCCCGCGCAGGTACCTCAGCTGGGCGCGGCTGGCCTGCAGCTGAGCATCGACTGCCAGCCTGTCATGCGTCAGCACCACGCTCAGCGCTGCTGCCTCCTCCTCGCTCACACGCGCCATGCGTGCCGCTGCTGCTGACGTGGCAGGTGGTGGCTCCTCCACGTGGCGCAGCGTGATTCGCGTGACGGCCATGTGCAGCTCGTCCAGCGCTCGCAGCACTCCCCTCTGCGCCTCCGACCACGCTCGCGCCACCAGGAACTCCCTCCGCATGGCCTGGTGTGTGGAGAGGGGAGCAGCAGCAGAGGAAAGATGACATTTGAGTCGACTCAAAAGTCGCCTCCGACCATGCTCGGACCACCAGGAACTCCTTACGCATCGCCTGGTGTGCAGGGAGGGAGCAGCAGCGGAGGGAAGGCGGCTGCACAAGGCACAGGACTACAGGGGCACAGGAGCATGGAAGGGCGACTGTGAGTGAAAAGGTTTGGAGAATGGATGAGAGTGAAAGGTCAGTCAAAGGAAGGTCCACTCATGCAGCGTGCCATGACAATCAAGAAAATGCTTGCCATGGCAGATGGAATCCAGATAGCATGGCAGATTGGGAGAAGACATCACGGTGTGCAGCCCCTCTCGCCTCAAGAGCCACGCCGGTGCATCGCATCTCGCCTCACCTCCAGAGCCTCCAAAGAGCTGGACGCCGCAGCTGCCAGGCTGGCTTGCTCGTCCTCTGGGATGATGCCACGTGGCAATGACTGCAGCACAGACGCCAGCACAGCGAGGCACCTCTCGGTGTCAGAGGGGTTCCACACCACCGTCCCCCCCTTCCCCTCTGCCCCACTCGCCCCGCCCCCTGCCTCACCCCTGCTGCCCCTCCCCCTCCCACCCTGCCCCCCTACTGGTGCTACTCCCCCTGCTGATGCCGCTGCGATGAGTGGGGTGCCGCGCACGCCGAGAGTGGATTGGAGCACGTGCAGGAGGTCGTGGGGCGAGGCGGAGGGATGGGGAGAGTGAGGGTGGTCAGAGGGGGACGAGGCGGGGAGGGAGGAGGGGGCGGAGGAGAGGCGCAGGTGGAAGAGGCGCCGCTGATAGCTCTGGCAGGGGGTGCGGGAAGGGAGTTGGTAGGCAAGAACAAGGAATCGGAGATTGACGAAGTGGACATACCAAGGTAGTCATCACACTTACACCCTGCAGCACAGCACACTATGCTGCATTGCATGAGTTTACCCAGTGGAAAGGGATGAAATTAAACATCACTCTGACCAATTCATAGGACCATCTCACCTCGAAGAGCTCCTGTGTCTTGCAGTGCATGCAGCACTCATCCCCCCGACCCACTTCCATCCCCCTCTCACCACCCACCCCAGCCAGCAACCCCCCAGCCCCCCTGGCGTCCGCCCCCTCCTCCCCCTCCTGCCCGGCACAGCAGCGAGCACACGAGCCTGCCTGTGCGACGAGGCTGCCCTGCACGCCCTGCGCCGCCACCTGGCCCCCCGCCTGCAGCACGCGCTGCAGCACCTTGTGCCTGCCCGCCAGCAGCGAGTCCACCTCTCCTGCCAGCACCAGCCGCACCCCGTGCAGCGTGCGGAACCTGCCACGAGGGGGGTAGTATTGGGGGAGGGTGATGTGGTAGGAGTGGGACCAGGGAAAAAAAATAAGGCTGTCAACCTTTTTGTCTACTCCCTTTCATATCAATAGATTGGTTATCCCAATCTTCTCCGGTTGGAATTCCCCTTGTGATCGAGCCAATCTGCCAACTCATCATTGCAAATCTGGTCGGATTCTTACCCGATTCTTTCCCTTCCCTTCCCTTCCCTTCCTCAACCCAACCCAAGTCCGATCGCCTTCTTTCTTAATCAAACTCTTCATCTTTTTTTCTGACACAAGGTTCTCAGGCTTAGGGTGTTTTCCCCTGTGTAGCCTGTAATCAAGCCAGGGGAGGCGCACCTGAGCCCAAGGCTGGCCATGTTGTGGGTGTGGGCCGGGCGGTGGTCGTCATCCAGTAGTGCACGGTGCAAGCGTGCCGTGACGCTCTCCGCCATGCCGGGCGGTGCAGAGGAGTGCAGTGCGGTGAGGAGCGTGAGCCACCAAGGGGTGGTGGCGGTGGAGAGACGTGCCGCTGCCAGATGGGCCTCCACCTGCCTATGTGGATGTGGGTGGATGGGGAAGTGGGAGCGGAAGAGGGGGGTGTGTTGGGGGGGGTTAGCAGGCAACAACAACATGCCCGTGTGTGTGGGTGGTGGGGCACTGCATGTGGGTGTGCAGGCGATATCGATGTGTGGGACGGGAATAACAAGAGTTGCATTACCACGGATGTGGAAGGTGTAGGTGAAGGGAAGACAGAAAAAAGCATTGACCATTCGCAAGCGTGCCAGGACGGTCCAGGTAGCAACAGGAGCTGCTATGGCGATGACAAAATCGTGATCATCCAGAGAAGAGTCCTCATCATGTTCTCATGTGCTTCTCTCATCTGCTTCTCCATTCCCACCCCCTCACTCGCCTGAGGCTGCACGTCCTCCAAGGCCCTGAGAGCAGCAGCAGCGTGTGGTCCCCCACGGGCGCCAGGTATCCTTCACCTCACCGCTCTCCGCCTCTAGCCACGCTGTCGCGTGATTAACACTTAGCTGGCAACTAAGTGTGAATTACACAGCAGCCAAGGTGAGGTGTACTATAGTTTACTGCTTTTTGCATTTTACTTTGTTTGCTCTTTTGGAATGTTACTGTACTATACAGAGTCGAGCTGCTGAGGATTTCGAGGTGGTTAGGGGGGAGGTTGGTGGCGAATTCGATTCCAGCCAGCCTGGGAATTCAATTCGCCATTCACCAGGCTGGAAGGCGGTGCATGCCTAGTGGGCCGAGTGGGACCCAGCTAGCACCTTGAAGCCTACGCGATCAGCTCGGCTGACTCGCGCTTAGGAGTAGAGGTAGCTTGCGGGACAAGGCACCTAGGCAGGAGGGGATGTAGACTGGGGTAGCGCTCAGACTCGTTGCTTTTTGCTTGTATGTTTCTCGTTTACTGCAATTGTGATTTCCTAAACCACGGGGAACTAGCAGTAGAGAGGAGCTGAAGCAAATCGGCGGAGCCCTTGCGAGGGAGTTAAGTCTTGTTTCATACAAGCAAAAAGGGTAGTCAGGATTACGATTGTTGAGAGAAGAGGTGGCAGGATCTACTGCCTGGAGTTGCCCACGGTGATGCACCGTGAGGAATGAGTAATTTCGCCCGTGAGCTTCACACTCATCAACTGCGCTCTGGACACCGATTCCCGGCGAGGATGATGGAGGGACGTGATCCGCCGGTCAGGATGCCTGGATTTCGGGCGGGCGAAGGAGGGACGATCTCGCGCGGTAACCAAGGCGGGGATCGGGAGGAAGAACGAGGTGTACACGGAGAACAACAGTCGAGCTCTGCATGCGACTCGCCCGCGGAGAGGAGTGGAGGGCGACCTGTGGGGAGTGGATCTCGCCGAGGAAATCCAGATCTGGGAGGAGACGATCAACATGAAGATCGACGAAGTCAGAAGGGAGGGGAAGATCATCGAGAAGAACGGCGGAGTCAGAGAGGAGAAGAAGATCAACGTGAAGAAAGGCGTAGTCTGAGGGGAGGAGACGATCAATCGGTGGAACGACGAAGTCAGCGAGGCAAGGAAGCATATCACGGATTCTCTGCTGGAGGATACGAAGCCATGGAGGCCGGGAGAGCAGGGCGACCTGCAGGGAGTGGAGAAGGAGGGAACACAAGCTGGGGGACAGGCAGGTCGATGAGTACTACACCCCCCAAAATTGAGGTACCAGACCGCTTCTCGGGGGCACCCGGAGAGGAGCCCACGCTGAAAAACTACCTGATGATGATTGAAGACATTCGCTACTGCTGGGATAGGGAGCGACTGGATCCTATTGAATTTTTCAGAGGCTTGGGGAGGACTCTCAAAGGAGAGGCGTTGACTCATTACCGCGTGGAGAGGCAGGGGCTGCTGATGCGGAGCAACAGAGGAGATATCTTACCGGCAGATATTACGGACCGTTTCTTGGAAAGCCTGCAGGAGCAGTTCCCGGGGCATTCGGCTGACCGGATGGCGGAGTTTCAAGACTTCAGAAGAGCGCCGGCAGAGTCGATGTTGGCCTACTATAACCGTTTACTGGAGCTGGCAGAGGATATGGGCTGCGTGGAGGAGCGCATCCTAGTGACCAAGTTCGTCAACGGACTGGATGGGGACTTGATACGAGACATGAGAAGCCGACTATACTCCTTGGGGGTACGGGCGAAGCTGCGACAGGTGTACCAGGTGGCGAAAGAAGTGGAGGATGGAAAGAGGTTTTTCGAAGGAATGAGGGGGTCAAGCTCCAGTCGGCCGAGCGAACGTCGGAGGCCTGCTTGGGCAGCGGTGGAAGGGAGACAGGGGGAAGAGGAACGAAGAGAGAGGCCGTCTGAAGATAGACGCAGGTGTTACAAGTGCGGCGAAAAGGGGCACGTGCGGAAGGACTGCGCCATAGACATAGTGTGCGACACATGCAAGATGAAAGGACATTTCAGACGTGACTGCCCCAAGGCACCTATCTGCACCGGGTGTGGGAAAAGGGGGCATACTGAAGACAGGTGCTACAGCAAGGGAGAGAGAATGCGAGGAAAATCGGCAAGGGAGTTACAGTTAGAGAGAGAGGTGGCGAAGCTGAAGGGACAGTTGGAGAAGACTGAGATTAGTGAGGACCCTGAGAAGGCATTGCTGGCTTGGGAGGACGATGAAGAGGAGGAGTATGAGAGAGAGGAGGCAGAGTACGGGGCCATGGCCATACCACCTAGAGACCGAGAGGAGTTGGGGCTGCGCAGCGGCGGGAAGGATGGCAGGACAGAGCAGAAGCAGCCTGAAAGGAGAACCCCTCGGCAACAAGAAGAAAGCCATAAGCCGAGGACGGCTCGACGGCATCCTGAGGAGAGACTCGTCTGCCAACCCACGGCCCTGGTGGTAGAACCTAAGGCAGTGGCTGTCAGGGGCATATTAGTGGAGAACGCCGTGGTGGATACAGGCGCACAGAGTGTCCTGCTGGGAAGGAAGCTGACAGAACAGTTACGGGAGAAAGGGGACTTGGAAATAGTAAACAGAGGCATACTGATCATGACAGCCGAGGGAGGGGCACCAAAGTGGATGCCCTGTACTAAGGACCCCATCGAGATTACTCTGCAGCCGGGAGAGAAGGGAGAAACGACGATAAGAGTGCAATGTGGGCTGACGGAATCGGAGGATTATGATGTTCTGCTGGGGATGGAGCTGCTATTCAAGATAGGTACAACAATTTGTACCTGGCAGGAACAGGTGCTCTACCGCTCGGATTTCTGGATTGAGGGAAAGGAGTTGAGTGAGCTGCCAGTGCGGTTTGTCAAGACAGAACCGAAGAAGGCTTGGAGGGCGGAGGGCATGAGAAGAGAGAGCGTAAGGAGGGGGAGTACCAAAGAGGGCAAGGTCGGAGCTAACCTGAACCAGTATAGCGTTACCTTAGTGGAGCTGTTTGGAGGGCTGGGGGCAGGCTTAGCGGCGGCACTGGAAGCAGGGCTGAAGGTGAAAAGATGGGTGTATGTGGAAATAGACCCGGAGGTGAGGAGGATGGCTTGGAAGCATGCACAGATACTGCAGCAGCGGTACCCAGCTCAACTGGCGAAGGAAGTGATACGGGAGGCCATGCAGAATGAGAAGTGGGATGTGGGACAGCTTACCAAGGAAGACGTGAACCGCTGGGGAAAGGTGGACCTGTTGGTAGCAGGGTGGGAGTGCCAGGGTACTTCCCGAGCGGGGAAGGGAAGAGGAATGCAGGATGACCGCACGGCGATGGTGACAACACTGCTGACGATTATGAGGTGGGCGAGAGAATCTGGCGGGGAATATGCGTACATCCTAGAACATGTGGATATGAGGAGTGATAGCAGGGAGCCGGTCCGAGCCGTACGCGAACTGGTGGAAGCAGAATTGGGAAGGGGAGTGAGTTGTGACGGGGCACAGCTGGGGGCAAGGTGTCATAGAGTGCGGCAGTACTGGCAGAACGTCCTGCCAGAAGGAGAACTGAGGGCGAGATTAGCAAGGGTGGAGAGAGATGAGAGCCGAATCGTGGAAGACATTCTGGAACCAGGGAGAGTGGCCGCCCCAGTGGTAAAGCCAGATCATCCGCGACAGTATCAGTGTAACCGAGTGGGGGAAGCGAGGAGGGCCTGGCCGACACTGGTGGCCTATGCAAAGGCACGGGGATTTGTCGAAGTGGAAGGGACTCCAGGTCCAGGGATGGTGTATGATCACCGTAAGAAAAGATGGGAGGAGCCGACTGCTTTGGAGAGGGAATTAGCCATGGGGTACCTGCCGGGGGCAACTGCAGCAGATGGAGTAGGGGAGGAGGTGCGCAAAGCTGCCTTGGGCCGAGCCATAGACCAGCACTCACTGCGATGGCTAATTAGTGAGATGAGAAAGGGGCCAGCCGAGAAAAAGGGAAAGACGGAAGAGGAGAAGTGCAGGGGCAGCAAGCAGGCTGCTTACGCCGCTGTCAGCAAGCTCACAGACGAGAAGGAGATCAAAACTGCACCACCAGTAGGGACGGAAGCAGAGCCGGGCAAAACCTGGGAGCTGGGGGCAGGTATAGGGGAGCAAGCAGCCGAAGCAATCAGGGAGGTGTTGCAGCAGCATAGGGGCACCTTCGCCTATAACCTGCAGGAATTGGGGAGATACAAGGGGAGAGAGCTGGAGCTGAACCTCACGACTGAGCTACCTACATACCAACGCAGGAGGCGAATGAATGCGGAGGATGCAGCCATCTGCAAGGAGAAATGTGAGGAGTTGCTAGCTGCAGGGATTATTCGCCCGTCAGAATCAAGTTACGCGGCGGCCACGGTGGTGGCTGCTAGGAAGGACATCACGGGAAAGATTCTAGCGAAGCGGATGTGCGGGGATTTTCGGGAGCTGAACAAGATTACAAGCCCAGACAGATACCCTATGCCGACTGCTGAAGACATTTTCGACCGGCTGGAAGGGGCCACCGTCTTTACCACCTTGGACCTGCGGCAGGGCTTCAATCAAATAGGCATTAGAGAAGCAGATAAACGGAAAACAGCATTTCACGGGGTGGACGGTTTGTATGAGTACAACGTTATGCCTTTCGGGCTTCGTAACGCACCAGCAGTGTTCCAGAGAGCCATGGATCAAGTGCTGAAGGGGGTTCCAGCCGCAGCATGCTACATTGATGACGTGTTGATTTACAGCAGCAGCAAAGAACAGCATGTGCAAGATCTGAAGCAGACTCTGGAGGCAATAGCAGCTGCGGGGCTGACGTGTCACCCAGATAAGTGTAAGATAGCGAGGCACACGGTGGCTTACCTGGGGTTTGAAGTGAAGGGCGGTCGGCTGGCCATACAAGAGGCAAAGGTTAAGGTGCTGGAGAACCTGGCAGCGCCAAAGGATAAGACAGGGCTGCGGGCGTTACTCGGCTTCCTGAATTATTACAGGAAGTTTGTGTCAAACTTCAGTCGCCGTGCCTACGTGCTGAACCAGCTGCTGAGGGAAGGGAAGAGCTGGCAATGGGGAGAGGTGGAGGAGGCAGCAAGGCAGGACTTGCTCGAAGCAGTTAGGACAGGGACCTTACTGCAGATACCGAGGGCAGAAGCGCCTTTCATCCTGTACACGGACTGGAGCAGTACGGGAATGGGAGCGGTGCTCTGCCAAGAAATCGAGGGAGAGGAAAGAGTGATAGCCTTTGCCAGCCGAAGCTGCAGCCCATCCGAGGCTAACTACTGCTCATACGAGGGAGAGGGCCTGACGGCAGTGTGGGGAATCACGCATTTCAAGGTATACCTGCAGGGCCGGCACTTCACATTAGTGACTGATCATCAGCCACTGCTATGGTTGATGACTAATCAAGAGCTGACGGGAAGAAACGCTCGATGGGCTATCAAGTTGTTGGGATTTGACTTTGAGATCCGGCACCGACCGGGTAAAACACTGCAGCATGCAGATGGGCTGTCAAGGAACCCACCACCGATGCAGCCGGTAGCGCAGCTGGCGGCCTTAGCCCACACCGTGGCCGTAAGCTGGGGGCAGGAGAAGGGAGAGAAGCGGTTAGCAGATATATGGGAGGACGAGGAGACCATGAGCTGGATCAAAGGGGAGCCACTGGAGGAGGAAGGCGTAAGTGAGAGAGCAAGAGCCAGAGGGCAGCATTACAGATGGTTTCAGGAGCAGCTGCAGCTGAGGACCAGCGAAGGATGGAGGGTAGTGCCGCAGCCGCAAGAGAGGAACAGGATCATGGGGAAGGTGCATGCGAAGCTGGGACATTACGGCATCACCAGGACACGGCAGCTGCTGAGCACCATGTACTGGTGGGCAAGCATGGGGAAGGATGTGGCAGGACTGGTAGCCAGCTGCGAGGCTTGTCAAAGGAATAAAGCAAGGCTGGAAAAGGAGAGGGAGGAGCTGCACTCACTACCGATTCGGGGGTTAGGTTACAGGTGGTCGCTGGACCTGGCAGGAGAGTTACCATTATCAAAAGGAGGGAAGCAGTACATCCTGATCATGGTTGAGCACACGAGCAAATGGGTGGAGGCGCGAGCATTACCAAGCAAGAGTAGCGCACTGATAGCGGACGCATTCGAGGAGTTAGTACTGACCAGGTACGGTGCATGTGGGGAGGTGCTTACCGATCAAGGGACAGAATTTCAAGGGAGCTTTGATGAGCTGCTAGAGGAGATGGGCATTACGCATCGTGTCACCTCAAGGTATCACCCTCAATCGGACGGGCTGACAGAGAGGCTCATACAAACCGTGAAGAAAGGACTTCGGGCCTATGGAGAGACACACAAGAGGAGTTGGGACAGGGATCTCTGGTGGGTGCTTGCGGGATACCGGTTTGCGAAGCAGGCAGCGCTGAAGCATCTGTCCCCGTATCATCTACTGTACGGACGGGACCCGGTGCTACCTGTGGATGCACCGAAGCTGCTCTCGGCGACGATTGAAGCGGACGAGCCGAGCCTGTGGGCGGGATTAGCGGAGAAGAGGGCGAGGTATCTGAAAGAGCTGACTCCAGCTGCCTTGGATAATCTACACGTGGCGCAGCTGAGGGATGCAAGGCGGTACCAGCAGCGCAAAGCAGGAGGGATGGGAGGAAAGAGTCACCAAGTGGAAGCGGGGCAGGAGGTGTACCTGCGCAGGGCTAAGCGAGATACGCTGGACTTAGCTGTGGGACCGGAGCGATGGAGGGTGAAAGAGGTAAGGGAGTCGGGGGTGCTAGTGCTGGAGGATGATCGAGGGGAGTACCTGAAGGAGCATATCACCAACGTGGCCAGGGCGGGAAGGGAGAAGCCTCAGGCATTGGATCCCGTGTCTGGAGCAGCTCGGGTGCGTGCTCAGTCACGGGAGGGGGCAGGGAAGCCTGAGATACGAGGAGGGGATCAGAACAGAGTGATTACATACGCCAGGAGGAAGAAGGGATGAGCCGGTCACCTGGATGAGAGGTGGAGGGAGAGGGAGTGAGGAAGTCAGGCAGGGATGCAAGGGAGAGTGAGAAGGAAGGGACAGCAGAGGGGATTCACGACAGCTGTCGCGTGATTAACACTTAGCTGGCAACTAAGTGTGAATTACACAGCAGCCAAGGTGAGGTGTACTATAGTTTACTGCTTTTTGCATTTTACTTTGTTTGCTCTTTTGGAATGTTACTGTACTATACAGAGTCGAGCTGCTGAGGATTTCGAGGTGGTTAGGGGGGAGGTTGGTGGCGAATTCGATTCCAGCCAGCCTGGGAATTCAATTCGCCATTCACCAGGCTGGAAGGCGGTGCATGCCTAGTGGGCCGAGTGGGACCCAGCTAGCACCTTGAAGCCTACGCGATCAGCTCGGCTGACTCGCGCTTAGGAGTAGAGGTAGCTTGCGGGACAAGGCACCTAGGCAGGAGGGGATGTAGACTGGGGTAGCGCTCAGACTCGTTGCTTTTTGCTTGTATGTTTCTCGTTTACTGCAATTGTGATTTCCTAAACCACGGGGAACTAGCAGTAGAGAGGAGCTGAAGCAAATCGGCGGAGCCCTTGCGAGGGAGTTAAGTCTTGTTTCATGGGAAGCCTGAGATACGAGGAGGGGATCAGAACAGAGTGATTACATACGCCAGGAGGAAGAAGGGATGAGCCGGTCACCTGGATGAGAGGTGGAGGGAGAGGGAGTGAGGAAGTCAGGCAGGGATGCAAGGGAGAGTGAGAAGGAAGGGACAGCAGAGGGGATTCACGACAACGCATCTCTGAGTGAGTGTTCGCACCACACCCAATCCAACCCACCTGAGAGTGTGTCTCCTCGAAGGCCCTGTGAGCAGCAGCAGCACGGGCCCTCACGGGCGCCAGGTAGCGTTCCTTCACCTCGCTGCTCTCCGCCTCCAGCCGCTCGTCCCTCAGTGTCCGCGCCACACCCAACCCTGCTCCATCACGACCAGGCCCCACCGCACTGCACCCCTGCCCACCCTCTCCCGTCCCTTCTCCATCCCTGGTGGCGTGCAACAGGGCGAGCAGGTCATGCAGGTTGTGCAGCACGTGCAGGCGCTGCAGGGGGTCTGTGCGCAGCACACCGCCTTGTGGGAGGGGGCCACCCACACACAACCCCTTCTCTCTGCCTTCCTCCCCATCCCCATCCCCATCCCCATCCCCATCCCCATCCCCATCCCCAACCCCATCCCCATCCCCATCCCCATCCCCATCCCCATCCCCAACCCCATCCCCATCCCCATCCCCATCCCCATCCCCATCCCCATCCCCATCCCCATCCCCATCCCCATCCCCATCCCCAACCCCATCCCCATCCCCATCCCCATCCCCAACCCCATCCCCAACCCCATCCCCATCCCCATCCCCATCCCCATCCCCATCCCCATCCCCATCCCCATCCCCAACCCCATCCCCATCCCCATCCCCATCCCCAACCCCATCTCCGTCCCCATCCCCATCCCCATCCCCATCTCCATCCCCATCCCATCCCCTCGCTGTCTCAACATGGGCGGGCCCATGGCCATCCATGAGGCGCAGTACGTCACGGTAAATGCCCACCGCCTGCACCGCCCCCGCGCGCCACTGCTCAACACTCTTGTCAATGAGGAGGGGAGAGTGAGAGGAGGAGGAAGGGGTGGGGCGTGAGGAGAGGTGGAGGGGGAGGGCGGGGGCGTGGATGGCGGCGAGGGCAGCGAGGCCGTTGAGGGCGGAGATGAGGAGACGCTGGGCTTCCTCCGCCTCCACCCGCGCCTTCTCCAACAGCACCTGGTGCATGGGCGTGATCATGCCATGCCATGCCATGCCATGCCATGCCGAGTCGTTCAGCAGAAAAGGCCAGCATTAAAAGACAGGTGGGTACTCAGCTTGGGGGAACGATCTTATGCAAGTTAGAAGGCTTGACAAAGCTGGGGGGGCCAGGCACACTGGGGAAACACACGATGGAGCTGAGCAGGTGAAATGTACCTTACCTCCCACCGTATGCAACAGACATATAGGACTGATTCCCCCCTCTCCTCTCTCCCACACCCCCTTGCTCCCACCTGCATCACGCATCTCACCTGCACCACGCATCTCACCTGCACCACGCATCTCACCTGGACCACGCATCTCACCTGCACCACGCATCTCACCTGCACCACGCATCTCACCTGCAGCACCTCGCCCATGTGCATGGGGCGGCCCTGTGATCCCAGCGGTCTGAGCCCACCCGAGCCGATCTGAGGGTGGCAGCAGGCGTGGCGCAGCAGCAGCAGCGACGCCAGGAACCGCTCCATGTCGCCCCGACATGCACCCGCTAATGACCGTGCCCCCAGCACCAGCTGCTCCTGCTGCTGCTGCCACTCTCTGCCCCCTCCCTGCCATTGCTGCTCCCCCTCCGCCTCTGCATCCCCATCCCCATCACCTCTCCCATCTAATCCCACTCCGTCTCCAACTCCTCCTCCGCTTCTCCTCCCTCCCCCTCTCCGGCCCCCGCGTGTCACGGAGCGCAGCATGCTGGTGGCACGCTGGGCGCACTTGGCGTGCTGCTGGCGGTAGAAGTGCGCCTCTATGGCGCTGAACCGCAGCACTGTCAGCAGCTGCCGCTGAGGTGGCAGCGCCAGCTCGTCTGCCACGTCGGCCCTGTGATGGCGCCACATCAGCCTCGACATGAGGGCCAGGAGCGCGTGCCATGCTGCCAAGCATCCATTCTGACGTGGCATTGCCAAAGAGGGGGAGGCGGCGGAGGGGGGGAGGCGTTGGAGAGATATGAGGGGGGGAGTTAAAGAGGGAGGAGTCGAGACGAGAGAGGGCAAGGGCGAACGAACCAGTGGGGCAGAGCACAAGGCACAGTTGAACTTGGCATCACAGTTGAACTTGGCATCACAGTTGAACTTGGCAGCACAGTTGAACTTGGCATCACAGTTGAACTTGGCAGCACAGTTGAACTTGGCATCACAGTTGAACTTGGCATCACAGTTGAACTTGGCATCACAGTTGAACTTGGCATCACAGTTGAACTTGGCAGCACAGTTGAACTTGGCATCACAGTTGAACTTGGCATCACAGTTGAACTTGGCATCACAGTTGAACTTGGCATCACAGTTGAACTTGGCATCACGTTAAGTCAGTCGGATGTTGTGTTTCGCACACACTCCATTCTGTCTGTGCCAGTCACCACGTATCACCCTCCCTCCCGCCCTCCCTCTCTCCCTCCCTCCCTCCCTCCCTCTCTCTCTCCTCGTAATTTCACTCACCCACAAGCGCGCAAAGGAAGTTCTAACTGTCACAATGACGCACCCCAGCACCATTCATTCCCCTCCCCCCTTTTGATGATATAACAACAGCTGCCAACACAAGGTCCTCACTCATTCAGTGCAGCCATCCAATGCACCCACTGCTCCCCTCCACCCCTCCTCCTCGCCTCGCCGCAACAGGCTTCTGTTCGAATCGGACTGCTCAAACGCCCATCACCATCCCTGTTCAAACGCTTCTGTTCGCCCCCACCACCATTCACCCCCACACCCACCCATTCCACAAACCATCACCTCCGCAGCTGACGGGCTCACCTGGATAGGCAGCTGGAAAAAATGCCGCCACCAGTGAGGCCCGTCAAACGGCGAGGCTCGGAGGAACCGGAGCAGGCCGAGGAGGTCAGGGAGGCCGCGGTGCAGCGGCGTGCCGGAGACGCACCAGCGGAGGCGCGCTGGCAGGCGGGCCGCCATGAGGACCGCGTTGGACGCCCCCCCCTCCACCAGCTGCGCCTCGTCCAGACACACCCTCCACCACTGCAGACGCGTTAGTGGTGTGGGGCGGATTTGGTACCTAGAGGAAGGGGTGGGACAGCAAGCAGGTGAGGGAGGGCGGGCAGGCAGGCCCCCATTCTGGCGGCGTTGGAGGCTCCCCCATTCACCTGCTGCGCTGCGTCCACACACACCCGCCACCACCGCAGCTGTATCAGTGGCATGAGGTGTGGGAAGGCGTGGAAAGAGGTGCTCGCTCACCCCCTCTCCTCTTCAGCTTCCAGCCACCCCGTTCCTACAATGCACACATGCGCTCTCAGTCACCCTCACGTCCCCACCCCTCACACAGCCACACACCCCACTAACTGTTCCCCTTTACACTCGCACCCAGCATCACACACACCCCTGCCACGCACCTCTTCTCATATCTCAGCTGCCGTGTTGCCACGTGTCCCTGCCCACCCACATCGTGCCAGATATCGCCACGCAGCGTGTCATATGACGTCAGCACAATGTCAGCAGCTGCCAGGTCATCAAGAGTCACTGCAGGCACCTCCTCCCTCACCGCCTCCGACTCCCCCTCACGCCACCCACCCCTCCTCTCTCTTCCCCACCTCTGCCACCCAGCCCTCCTTCCTGTGGCCCCGTTTCTCCATCGCCTGATGCAACGCCCACCTGCCCTCCTCCACTCCCTTGCGCTGCTTGCCTGCCTCCTGCACACAATCTCTCTCCATCCCTCCATCTGCTGCCATCCCCGCATTTCCCTTTGCTGCCCGCGCCGCCCTTTCCCTCACTGCTCTCTCCATCCACCCGCCTCTTGCCATCCCCATCCTCTCCTCCGCCACTCCACCTGCCATCTCCTGCCATCCCCTCTCGACCACCACACTCTCCCACCCTTCCAGCTGTGGCAGACGATGCAGTGAGAGGAGAATCGGAGGAGGCAACGGGAGGAGAGGCAGGGGACGTGGTGAGAGGAGTGGAAGGGGACTGGTCCCTCTCGCGCTCGCCTCTGCCCCTCTCCTCGCCCCGTGTGCTGCCGATGCCTCTGCCCCACTCCCTGCACTGCAGCAACTGATGCCGCTGCTGCTACCCCCACTGCTGCCTCTGCGCCTCCTGCTGCTCCCTCTCCTCTCCTCACTATCAACCCCCTCCGCTTTCTCCCCACATGCCCAATCTCCTCTCCTCTCCACCGACCGCTCCTCACCTCTCAGCACTCCCCTCCTCTTCCCCATTACCCCCTCATCCTCTACCTCCCCCCTCCTACGCTTTCCTCTTGTCACCTGCTCTCCCTGCAACACAATTTCCTCCGCCTCCTCCCCCTCTCCCTCACCCCCACCGCCCCTCCAGCGGTGGGCGAGGATGCAAGCAAGCACCTCAACGGTCTTCCCCAGCCCCATCTCCTCCGCCACAATGCCGCCTCTCACTGCCCCCGCCACTTCACCCACCCACCCGCACACACCACTCCCCCAACCTGCACTCGCCAGACCTTGGCTCACCAGACCTGGACTCACCAAACCTGGACTCACCGAACTTGGGCCCACCGAACCAAGACTCACCGAGCCTGGGCTTATATTACCTGGGCTGGTACCCGATCTCTCCGTACCTCGACTCACCGTACCTGCACGTGCCAAACCTGGACTTGTTGGGCCTGCATCGTTCACCATGTCTGGACAGGTCGGCGCTAAATCTGCCGAGTCTGTACTCACCGAACCTGGACCCAATGAGGAGCCACTTCGCTGCATCTCCCCGCTTTCCCTCTTCCCCCCATGCCCCACTGCCTCTTCCCCCTGCGGCTGCCTCCCAGCCCTTGCACATGAGGCGGAGGGGGGAAGACGGACGAATGTGCCTCTGGCAAGGGGACATGCAGAGGAGCAATGGGGATGGGGATGGGGATGGGGATGGGGATGGGGATGGGGATGGGATGGGATGGGATTGGGGATGGGATTGGGGATGGGGATGAGGATGGAAATGCGGATGGGGGTGTAGATGGGGATGCGGATGAGGATGAGGATGGGGATGGGGATGGGGATGGGGATGGGGATGAGGATGGGGATGGGGATGGGGATGAGGATGGGGATGGGGATGGGATCGAAGCTTGGCAGCTAGTACAAGGAGCTGAGACAGTGTTTGAGGCAAAAAGATGGAGAAGAAGTGAAATTGTCGATCTTCCTGGCTGACTGTGCTCCACACGGGCCAGGGGTGTGGCTCAAGGTGGCTAGTGACTGATAGTACGCATGCAAGGCACTAGAGTGTTGGGCTTGCGCTCATGGGCCAAGCGGGTGAGAAGGAGCGGGGAGGCGAGCAGGCAAGCACGTGAGCTGGCTGTCACACACGCACGCACAGGAAGGGGTTGTAGAGGAGAGTGGCGCCAGGGGCGGTGCTGGTGTGAGTCGGCTGCGACAAGGGGTCAGTGGCGCTGCCTGCTGTCACCCGCCGCCACAACGGGTGCTGCTCCGCCACTCCCCACCCCTGCTGCTGCTGCTGCTGCTGCTGCTGCTGCTGCTGCTGCTGCTGCTGCTGCTGCTGCTGCTGCTGCTCCGCATGGCTCCACCCTCCATGCTGCTCCCCTAGCACCGCATCCCCCTCCCCACCGCCCACATGTCTCCCTGTCTTGCCTTCCCCACATCCCCCCTGAGCGCCCTGCTCGCGCTGCACCATCCACGCCACGGCCCGGCTCTGGTACAGCCTCAGCGAAGGCAGCAGGCCGGCAGGACACGTGGCAAGTGGTGGAAGGTTCCTGGAAAATCAACGAAGGAGAAGAGTTGCAACAAGCGAGAGGGTCAGTGAAGGCACTTGCGGTGGAGACAGGGGAAGTGCACTGCATGGGCGGAAAGGGTGCCGGCACGGCACGCACCTGCTGGGATGCACAGCAGCGTACAGCTGAGCAAGGTCAAAGCAGCTGCCCACAAGCACCCTGCCATACCCCCTGCCATATACGCTGCCATGCACTCCCCCTTGCGCCTCCGCTGCACCAGCCTCATCGCCACTAGCAGCCGCAGAAGCAGAGGCACAGCCAGAGGCATCGCCGCCACCTCCCCTGCCACCATCCACTGTCACGCCTGTGTTGCTTCCCTCGTCACTCTTCCCCTTCCCTTTCTCCCGTTCGCTCTTCTCCTTGACCCCATCTTCTCCACCTAGATCAACAGCCACGTCAGTATTAGCCACTTCAGCAGTAGCCACGTCAGCAGTAGCCACGTCATGAGCATCATGTCCAGGCTGGCAGGCGCAAGGCGGGGGGGTGCGAGCATTCCAGCTCGTGCTTCCACACGCATCCTCCACCTCACCCCCATGCTCTTCCACATGCGTACCTTGAGACACCTCAGAACTTGCATGTGTGCGTGGATGTGTATGTGTATGTCCATGTATGTGTACATGTTTGTGTGCATGCGCATGTGCATGTGTGTGTACACACGGGGGCACGGGCGCGTGGGGCAGGGCGATGGGGGCGAGGCGGGCCATGAGGGCGCGCATGTGGGACGAATGGGAGGGGCGGCGCACAGAGTTGAGCAGCGGGGAGAGCAGAGGGGCGCGCACATCCGGTAGGGGTAGAGTGGGGGCTAGGCTGCAGGGGATGCCTACCGCCACCCACACGCACCCACACAGACACACATGTGATTCACATGGCCCTGCACCTGCTTCCGCTGCTGGGCGTGCTTCTGCCGCACCTGCTTCCGCTGCTGTATTGCTGTGACCTGTAGCAGCGAGGTAGGGTGTGACAGTAACGAGGTGCCTCTCTGCGAGGTACAGCAGCGCGTGCAAGGCACGTGGGTGCTGCAGCTGCCTCACTTCACTCGCCCTCACAGACACTACTATCTCCGCCCTCCGCCCTCTCTCCCCCTCCCTTCCCTCCGCCTCCCCTCGTTCCCTCTCCCCTTTCTCCTCCTCCTCCCACACCTCGCACTTCTCCCTATCCTCACCCCCAACCCCTTCCCCTCCCCTCCCTTTTTCCGCCTCTCCATCCCTTTCCCCCTCCCTTCCCCCTGCGCGCTCCCCTGTGCCCTCCTCTGCGCGCACCACGTGAAGCACCACGTCCTCCGCGCGCACCCGCAGCACCTGCGCGCGCCCACACGGCTCGCCACCCGTGCGACGGCCCTCGCGCACGCTCAGGCACGCATGCAGCCCCGCCCGCCCCTCGCCCGCGCCCACGCCGCCCTCTTCCCCGCGCGCTCCTCCGTGCCGCTCTAAGAACGCAGGAAGCACGGCTAGACGACCCAGCGGATCGCCACTATCGAGTATTTCGCTATCGGGTATGTCGCTATCGAGTATGACACTACCGGGCGTCACGGTAGGTGTGGCGCCGCTAGAAGCAGCGGAAGCGCAACCGCTGCGGCTTTGCTGGTTGAGAACGTGGAGGGGAGTGCAATTCGGATGCTGCGACGGTGAGAATGGTCCCAGTATTGCCACATCAGCACCTTCAGGATCCCCTAGCTTGACCCATATTATACGCCAGGCATCGGATTGGCCGGCTAGCTGGCTGCCGCCGCTACCGTCGCCGTCAGGTCTGCGCTGTCTGCCTTCAATTTGCGGAGCGACAAGCGTGGGTGAGGAAAGAGGTGCCGGAGGCACGTGGGAGACTGCCAAATCTAACGGTGGAACTTCAACGACTTCGGATGGTGTGCAAGCGGCGCGCGATGCTCGACTGCGAGAAGGGTTAACCTGTTTTCGACGCGCCATGGTTGCGAGGCGGCCACGCAGGACTACAAATGATTAAGTTAACGGGTGTGTCAACGTGACGAGAGTTTTATCACGTGCGTGAAGGGGGGAGGCATGGTCTGCTTCAGGAAGGCGAGGAAATATCGTTACAAGTCATACGAGAGGTAAACGAGAGAGCTTCTTGTTTCTAAAAAAGGAGCATTAACGGGGACAAATTTCATATATTATGTGTCTTTGTACGCTGACAGTTATCTCTTGACCCCCTAGTTCAATACTTGTTTTCTCGTTCTATTTTTTATTCTATCGGTAAGGAGAATACTTTTTCTTAAAATGCTTTATGACTGGCCTCTGGATGAGCCAAAGTGTACTTGGTTGTTGACATGATCTGGCACGAGGATACACCCCTTCAGATCCCACCCCGCCGAGTTCTCTCTGTGGCGCGCTGGTTACCTCCGTGACAACAGCGCAACTCACGGCACCTGCATCAAGGCGCCAGGTGCAACAGTTGCAGGTTTCGGATGCGGCTCGCAGGCAGGCACAGCCAAACACTTCGCCGTCGCTAACGGAGCATACAGGCTCAGCGCAGCTGAATCTGCTGAATCTTGTTCCGTCGTGTGCCTTCCACACAGTGGCAGGCAACAGCTGCGCTCGTTGAAATCATCCAAGAAATTCGCAGTGAAAGCGACGGGACTCGTATGGAGAAGTACAACGCTCCTGCGCCTCCATTCCCTATCAGAGCATCAGACGCCTATCCCTGTTCGCAGACTCAGCCTCTTTGCTTTAGTTACTCATCCATCATCCACTTCCCGCGCTCCATTTCACGCTTCCCCGAGATCGCCTCAAGTTTGACTTGCAACCTCCAGCTTTCCGCGATTCCATCCAGCCATGGCCCGGATGACGTCACTCTCTCGCGCGCCTTCGCTCGACGTTAAGCGCCTCGCCGTCGCCATCGCTGGTGAGCCCACCGTGTCGCCTCGTTGCCGTGCCGTATCGCCGTCACAAGACGCCGTGTCCCCTCGTCGCCTGTCATGTCGCCTCGTTGTTCAGCATCATCTTCGAATAGTGACATACGTCGCGGAAACCAAAGAAGCATGTGGGAAGCTTTCCCGTCTTAATGATCAAGCAACATGGGCAATGTCACGTGGAAAGGGTATCGACTTTGTAACATTCACGTTTACACAAGGCACCCCTCTGAGTCACGTATGTGACATACCTGTTGCATGTCGCCTCGTCGCATGTCGCCTCGTCGCCCTGTCGTGTCGCTACGTCCGTCTGCGTCTTCGTTTCCGCCGTCAGAGGCCCTGAAATGTCGCCGAGTCGCGCACGAGTCGGAGTGTCGCGCGGCGGGAGTCCATCATCCATATATGGATTTTAATTTATCATCCATCTCTATAGCCCCACTCGCGGGCCTTCCCACATCGCCTCCGCACTTTTCCAAAAGAAATGATCACCCGTTGCCTCTCCACCTCTCCGCACAAAACCGCACCTCTCTTTCCAAGCCGCAACTTTCCAGACCGCGGGTGCTTCTTTGGCCTATGCTTCGCTGCACTCCCCATGCTTCGAACACTGTTTCCCCCATGCTTCGCTACACAGTTCCCCCCATGCTTCGCTACACTATTTCCCCCATGCTTCGCTTCGCTATTTCCCCCATGCTTCGCTTCGCTATTTCCCCCATTCTTCGCTGCTGTTTCCCCCATGCTTCGCTGTTCCCCCACGCTTCGCTGTTCCCCCACGCTTCGCTGCACTGATTCCCGCACACCCCTCGCGTTGGCAGTGCTTCACTCGCTCTCCCTCTGCTGCGCAGCGGGCGGCGCCGTGCGGCGAGAGCTGCTGGATGCGAGCGACGGCCTCCTGACCCAAACGGTCACCACCACGGGCAGCAGCGGCAGCACGGACCCTAACGAGAATCTCATTATCGGATATGTAAGCACCGTCTCCGAGAGCACCAGCAGCAGCAGCGGGGGGAGCACCGGGAGCTCCATCAGTGGTGGGGGCACCGGAAGCTCCATCAGTGGTGGGGGCACCGGAAGCTCCATCAGTGGTGGGGGCACCGGAAGCTCCATCAGTGGTGGGGGCACCGGAAGCTCCATCAGTGGTGGGGGCACCGGAAGCTCCATCAGTGGTGGGGGCACCGGAAGCTCCATCAGTGGTGGGGGCACCGGAAGCTCCATCAGTGGTGGGAGCACCGTAAGCGCTGGCAGCACTGGGGGCAGCACCTCTGCGAGCGGCACTGAGAGCACCAGCGGGAGCAGCTCTAGGAGCAGCAGCGGATGGTTGGACAACTGCAGCGTAGCTTGTGTAGTCATTAATGAACCCACCAGATGTGAGTCATCCACATGCACATCCACATGCACATGCACATCCATACGCACATCCACATGCACATGCACATCCATACGCACATCCACATGCACATCCACATGCACATGCACATCCACATGCACATCCATACGCACATCCACATGCACATCCACATGCACATCCACATGCACATCCGCCTGCACATCCACATGCACATGCACATCCATACGCACATCCTCCTCCACACGCACATGCACATGCACATCCATACGCACATCCTCCTCCACACGCACATGCACATGCATCAATCCCAACCACCTCGTGTCTCCTACTGCAGACCATTCGCTGCCTGCTTTCAATGTTCCTTCTGCCTTTTAAAATCGCTCATCCGTGTCCTCTTTGGCCTGCTGCATGTGACCTTTTCCCCCCGCTGCAGTCCGAGCTGCCTCAGTGCTCACATCAATGACCAACATGAGCGCCAAATTCAACGTGGATGTTAACATGTGAGTGAAAGTCAGCATATCTCGTCCTTATTACAGCACGGTCACAACCTCTGCACAGATGTTGCTCATTCCAGTTCCTAAACAACTCTCGCCTCGGAAAAAAAGTGCTCTTTCTCTCTCCCTCCCTCCCTCTCTCTCCCTCCCTCTCTCTCTCCCTCCCCCCCCCCCCCCCCCTCTCTCTCTCTCTCTCTCTCTCTCTCTCTCTCTCTCTCACACACACACATACCCCTGCTTCTCATCGCCCTCCCTCACCCCTGCTTCTCACCGCCCTCCCTCACCCCTGCTTCTCACCGCTCTCTCACTCCCCTGCTTTTCACCGCTCTCTAACACCACAGCACATCAGCGCAGCAAAAGGCGTTCTACAGCTTCACCGTGATGGGCGTGCCGAGCAGCCCAGCGCCGGTCTTCTCCAAGTCCTCCTACCGCACCGACGCAGGGGAGATCGTGGCAGAGTTTGGGTGCACGCCCAAGCCCACCAGCACGCTGGGGACATACCGCTGCACGTCCAGTACTGTCGCCAACCTCACAGTGCCGTTCAGGCCGGTGAGCAGGGTGTTTGCGCTGGTTAATGCAGGGTTCTTCTTCGCCCCCTACTACTTCTACTCCACCATCAAAGTGAACGGCGTGAGGCTGCGCGGTAACATCACCGCCTCTTTTGTTTATCCTGATTACTTGTAATAGGTGTATACTTTTAAACTCTAATATTGTCCTGGTTCATTATATAAGAATAATGCCATATGATTTTCCATTGTGAGAATCTCCTGAGCAACATGCCAGGGATCTTGCGCTGCATGTCGTGGCGGTGCAATGACTTGTGGTGCAATGCAATGCACCTGGATAGAGCCAAATAAGACTCAAGCTCAGAACATTGTACATGAATTCGAGCTTCGTGCGAAGGGTTGCCAGACTTTAGCCGGGCTGATGGAGGTAGCGTTGCAGATATGCCAAGGGCCGTGGCAGCAGGCTTACAGATGGATGGCAGTGGGCTGACAGATAGATGGCAGTGGGCTGACAGATAGATGGCAGTGGGCTGACAGATGGATGGCAGTGGCGTCATGAGCGGATGGTTGTGGGCGTCATGGGCGCATGGAGGTTAATGTGGTTGGTGGCAGTTGTGTTAGAAACTACAGGCAGGAATGATTGACTATTGAAAGTTTGGGTACAAATACAAACCCTAACATTGTGTTGTACCCCATATGGGCTACCCCACTACAGCCTACACCCTAACATTACATATATAGTTTGACACACCCCCATAGGCAAAATGGGGGAGAGCAAGGGGTCACAAGACCAGTCAAAAGAGGCAAAGCAAGCTTAGGGTGGATCACAACGTCACCACACACACTTAGCACAACCAAACGGCCACAAGGCGAGTCTACATGCAGAGGTATATGTATGCAACAACCAACAGCACAGTGATCTCGACCTAGCAAGAGCGCATGCAGGTATGTATATATATATATATGTATATATATATATATATTACAGTACAAGCAAAGCCTACAGCAAGTGAGGAAATATAGGCACAAGGCCCAACAAAGTAAAAAAACGCTGATGATGACCAGACGGAAGTGTCTTGGTGAATATATCAGAACTGTTGGCCTGAGTGGCCACGTGAGCAAGACGAAGCTGTTCACGCTGCTGCAACTCTCGATCAAGGAAGTAATGCAGAGCGATGTGCTTCGTTCTGTGCTCAACTATGTGCTCCTAACACAAGGCAATGGCGGCCTTGTTGTCTACGTACAGCACTAGAGGAGAACGAGGCCGCTCTTCCAAGACGGTCAGCAAGTACGTAAGCCAGCGTAACTCCTCTGCAGCCATGGCTGTGGCGTAGATCTCAGCCTCGCAATTGGAGCTGAGAACAGAGAAAGAGCGTGTAGACCGCCAAGAAACAGAGTCAGAGCCAAGGCGAAAAGTGTAACCCTGTGATGACCGCTGCGTAGCTAGGTCGTCAACCCAAGAAGCGTCTCAGTGACCAGTGAGGACAACGTCGCCCCGTCCTCCAAGCACGAGCCCCATGCCCGATGCACAACACAAGTAGCATAGTACCCTCTTAGCAGCATCCATGTGCATCTTTCGGTGCCGACCAGGAGCCACGTAGCGAGCCAGAAGGCTAAGAGGGTACGCAAGGTCAAGACGAGTGCAGGTCATCAGGTACATGAGGCAGCCCACTAGCTCTGGGTAAGGACCACTCGGCTCTACGGACTCGTCCGAAGGTGGAGCTGAGAGCGGGTCACCTGTAGCCAGAGGAGTGGCCTCTGGTGAGGATCACGTGAAGCCAAAGCGCTGAAGGACCTACTGCACCATGTGTGACTGAGTCAGTGTGATGATGTGGCGTGCTCTGTCCCGGGTGATATGCAAGCCAAGGTAGCTGCACAACTCACCCTGGTCTGTGCACGTGTGTCTCTTCTCCAGCTCCGACTTCACCAAGGCGAGAGCCTTAGTGTCAGCAGTGCACGTACACAAGGATGTAGAATAGCGGCAGCGAAGTGTCAGTGCGCAGAAACAGCGACGTGTCAGCAATCGACGGGGCAAACCCAAGAGCCGCAAGTGTCGTCCTCAGTGTGTCGTGCCACTCACGCAGCGCCTGGCGGAGACCGTATATTGGCCGCCGGAGGCTCCACTCAGTATCAGGAGGGAACGACCTAGTGAAGCCACGTGGGCGGCACAGCCGGATCTCCTCGTGCAGGCTGCCCTGTAAGAAGGCTGTACTGAAGTCCAGAGAGCGAAGCTCGTAGTCACGTTGGGCGGCAACGAGAAGTAGCATATGAAGAGTGGTCATCTTCGGGGTGGGGGAGAAGGTCTGGAAGAAGTCAACTCCCTCCCGCTGAGTGAAGCCTCGAGCAACGTAACGAGCCTTGAAGACAGGTGGAGAACCTGGCGGCCGCTTCTGTGAGAGTACGACGGCTTATGCCAACTATGATTGCTTGCCTTCGCTTTATTATGCTATTTCTAGCATAGGATAATTATATGCATGCATGAATTACTTGATTTCCTAGGCTAGGTGCTTTCCTAAATTTTATTATAGTTATAGCACCAAGCTAGGTTGGGTGCACCGAATTCTGGCTTTTCAGTTGCCACTGAATTGCCTTCTACCGAATTGGGGAAGGATCTGTTCGGGACGCTTCGCGACCCGCGGAACCTTCGCGTAACACCTAGTTACGGGGCCTTGTGTCGAGCCTATATAGAGCCTCGTGTTGTATCCATGTGTTCATTCAATTCAATTCAATTCACATTCTGTTTTCTGACCTCGATCCTAGAACCTCACACTTGAAAATCAGAGCCTGTTTGCAAGCGAAGTTTTTCGACCGCTTCAACCTAGCTTTTAAAACCGCGGGGGTGACGACGGAAAGCGCCGATTTTGGGTGCGTAAACCAGTTCCGCGCTATTTTCTAACGTCCCCCTTGAACCGGTTCTCGAACACTCCTCAGGACCGGTTGCGAAAAAGTTGGAATTTCGACCGTCGGATCGATTCGAATCTCAACGGCCTCGAGAATTTCGCCCAAAACAGTTGGAATTTGGAGCGTCGGATTGAATTTCTTCTCAACAGCCGAGATCAGACGCGAATTTCAACTAAGGGGGAATTACGTGAATTTCTGCATTCAGCTTGACTCACAGTAAGATGACCAGCGCCTAAAATTCATATATTTTAGTCGCAAATCTTCTTATAAATCGCCAAATGGAGGAAAACGGTGATAATTCGGTACGGAAAATTACGGAGTTACACACCGGCCTGGACTAGACACGAGCAACACTCCAGCGAATAGAGGAGCTTCTCGCGAACCAGTCGGCAGCCGCCATAGCAGCAGCGAACGCATCGGCGAATGCAACAGCGACGTCAGCAGCAGCAGCGGCGACACCGACACTTAACCCAGCAGCACCGGCAGCGGCTACAATGAATCTTGAGGCGACACGTCCGAGGCTACCGGAGACGTTCAATCCGAATGCGAGAGACACTGACGTTCGTCGATTCATTGCGACTCTCGAAATTTACTTCGAGGCCGTTGGCTGTACGACCACGACACACGATGCAATGCAGATTCGGCTCGCAGCGACACTGTTACGAGGCCCAGCGCTCGAGTGGATTTACAACAGAAATAAGATCCGAGGCGAGGGGTCATGGACGCAGTTTCGGAAAGCTTTTATTCAACGTTTCGAACCAATCAACTCCAGCTACATGGCGCGGCAGCAGATTCATCGGCATAAACAGTTTGGCAGTATAACATAGTACACGCAGCAGATGGAGTGCCTCTTCAACCAAATTGTGAAGTTGAAAGAACAGGAATGAAATGACTAAGGAAAGATTGGGTACAAATACAACCCTAGAAACCTGTACCCCATATGTGCTACCCCACTATAGCCTACAACAGCTATGTCATATAAATCTGACACACCCCCATAGGCAAAGTGGGGGAGAACAAGGGGTCACAAGACCAGTCAAGCAAAGCAACGCAAAGCAAGCTCAGGGTGGATCACAAAGTCACCACACAGTCCGAGCACAAGGTCAAGGCCATAGGACCAGTTCACATGCAAGAGGAGGAATATATATATAAGGCTAAACAAGCAAGAGGAGGTATATATATATATATGCAAGAGTACAAGCAAGGTCAAGAGGTGAGCAAGTGAGGTAGGACAGGTACAAGTCCCAGCTGAGTGCAGAAACGCTGATGATCACAAGGCGGAAGTGCCTTGGTGAAAACATCAGCAGTGTTGGCCTCAGAGGCCACGTACGCAAGTCGCAACTGACCACGCTGCTGCAGCTCACGAGCAAGGAAGTAGCGGAGAGCAATGTGCTTCGTTCTGTGCTCCAAGCGCTGCTCTCGACACAAGGCCAGCATGGCCTTGTTGTCTACGTACAGCACTGGAGGAGAACGAGGCGGCTCTCCAAGGTCAGTCAGCAGGTAGGTGAGCCAGCGAAGCTCCTGTGCAGCCATGGCCCCGGCGTAGATCTCAGCCTCACAACTGGAGCCGAGAACAGAAGACGAGCGAGTAGCCCGCCAAGAAACAGAGCCAGAACCAAGACTGAAGGTGTACCCCTGCGACGACCGCTGCGTAGCCTGGTCGTCGCCCAAGTGGCGACGCACAGCAAGACGTGCAGCAGCATCGCGGGTGGCCCACTGAGAGCGAAGAGTGGGGTCAGCATCAGCAGCAGGAGCAGGAGAGGCGCCAGAGGTGAGGTCAAAGAGAGAAAGACCGTCCGCCCTATCGCACTGTAAAAACAACTGTAGGTTGTCGACCCAGACCTCAAAGTCAATGGCTCTGCCCTCAGCGTCAAAAGCTAGGACACTGGGGGTAGCCATGACGACAGACTAGCACTGCAAGCAGTGGGGAAGGGCAGGCAGTAGTAGTAAGGCAGCGCTGTGCTCACCAGACAGGGCAGGTCGGGCGGCCCGGTAGCAGGGCGACTCGACGGCTGCAGGACGGCTAGGCTGCTCCTGGGCGGCTCGGCTGCTCCCGGGCGGCTCGGCTGCTGCTGGGCGGCTCGGCGGTTCCGGGCGGCTCGGCTGCTGCTGGGCGGCTCGGCTGCTGCTGGGCGGCTCGGCTGCTGCTGGGCGGCGCGGCTGAGGCCAGGCGGCTCGGCTGGTGCTGGGCCGCAGGTGGAGCGGCGGTAGGGCCGCGTAGGTGAGGGCGGCAGGGGCCGCGAAGGTGAGGGCGGCGGGGCCGCTCAGGTAAGGGCG